AATAGTGGTGCTGGGAAGGGTGTGGTGTTGGTTTTGAGATGTTGATGGTGCTGCTGGTGGAGGCGGTGGCGAAGCGGTGGTCACAAAGGATTTTGGTGGTGGTCACAAATAATTTGGTTGATTGTGACTACTAATTTGATTGGTTAGCGACCAATAAACGATATGTGACCAATACACAATGTGTGACCTAAAAATTATTAATTTGTGACCAATAATTTGATAAATTGTGACATAAATATAATTTATGTTCAATTAATGTGATGTTTGTGACCATAAATAAATATTGTGACTAATAAATTTTGTAATTTGTGACCNATAATTTATGTTCAATTAATGTGATATTTGTGACCATAAATAAATATTGTGACTAATAAATTTTGTAATTTGTGACCGATTAACAAATTGTGATAGCTGTAGTCTATAGGTATATAATATGTATGTATAAATTATATTTATACATATATTATATATAATTAAGGGTGTGTTTAAGTCACATTATTTTGGAAGAATGTATTTTGGAATAGTAGATTGATGGAGAATGTATGATTGAAAAAAGAACGAAAGTTATTGATGTAATAGAAAATATTATTTTATTGAAAAATGTGTGGTTGAAAATGAGTAGAAGAATGAAAATAAAAGTTTTAATGTGGCTCAAACGAGGGCTAAGAGACAATTAGGATCTGATTATTGAAAACAAACTACTAAAATTCGATTTTTGGAATTGAAACTTTAGATATAGGGTTTGAGATAATTTTCTCACTCAACTTCAAAAATAAAGTTTAGAATTTATTTATACAAAAAAAAGGTAAAAGTTACATATTTTAATATTAATAATTAAATTATAAACTAATTTATATACTCACACCTTACCACATCCAACCGCTAAATCATTTTATCTCTCTTCTTCCTCTCCTCTCCTCTCCACTTCAGTTTTCTCTTCATCTCCCTTCTCTTTCTACCTTCTCCCTCACACATGGATCACCGTCACCACTAGAGACCACTTCCAAGTAGCGCTCTTTGCTTTGAAGCCACGCCGTTCTACCATCTCCCATGTTACATCTCTCTTTTTGCCGCACATCACGTCACCCTGCTCTCACATCTCGCTCTTCGATGTGCTACATAGAGAAGCCACTATATTGTCTAGCACTGATTTGAGCACAGCATAGAGATGCTTTGAGATTGTGATTTTTTGTTGCTCAACCTGTGTTTTGGTTTCTATTTCTATTGTGAGTTTCGGATGGTGAAGTTTCAGATTGTGATGGCGTTGGTCGCGGTGAAGTTGTATCGGTGGTTTGGTTTCTATTTCTGTTTCAGATTGTAAAGTTTCAGATTTTGAGTTTCAAATTGTGAAGCAATCGTGATGGCTATGGCGATGGTGGTGGCGGAGGTGGTAGTGAGGTTGCTAGATATTTGATTGGTGTTAGTGTGGTGGTTCGAGTGGAAGTGAGGGCGGGATGAAAGTGTTTGTGACCAACTATTTGGGTTGGGTTGGGTGGGGTATTCGCAAATAACTTGTGATTGATAAATAATGTGACATAAATAATGTAAGATTATAATTAAATTTGTAATCATAACTAAGTTTTTAAGTTGTGGTCAATTAATTTGATAGTTTATGATCGATAAATAACTTGTGACTAATTAATTTAACAATTTGTTATTATAAAATAAGTTAGACTTGTAAAATTTATAGTTTGTGATCGAAAAATAATATGTAATCAATTAATTCGATAATTTATGACTGTAAAATAAGTTTTGGCTTGTAATATTTGTGATATGTGATTGAAAAATAATACATGATCGTAATTCGTGACTGTAAAATTTGTGATATGTAATAAAAAAATTATACATCATCAATTAATTTGATAATTTTTGTTACTGTAAAATAAGTTATGATAATTTGAATGTTAAATAAGTTGTGGCCTATAAAATTTGTGATATTTGATCGAGAAAAAATATGTCATCAATTAATTTGATAATTTGTGACCTGTAAAATTTGTTATCTCTCATCAAAAAAATAATACATGACCAATAAAAAAATTGTGACATAAAATTTGTGATTTTTGACCGTGATATCTATAATTGTAACTAGTATGTAACTGTAACCATAAATTATATAATATTGCGACTTTAATATATTTGATTAATAATTTTTTAAATTAATTATTTAATTAATAGAATCTAATTAAGACCTCATTTTTGAAATAATAAAACTAATTGCTTAATTTTGAAATTGTATTTTACAACTACCTTATATATGTGATGTTTCCTTTCATTTTTCGACAAGATTTATAGTTCTGGGCTTCTTTCTTTTTTCCTCAGGCAAGAGTTGCAGATGGGGAAAGGGAAAATTATATGTGAATCTGGAGAAAATGTAGACGAGATATAAACTTTCAGCACTGCAAAGATTTATGGGTCTAACTCATCTCACAAAACCGATTCAGCAAGAGAGGTTTGCCACATTGTTTATAAGCTGGCCCAAGATATTGTCCCCGGGCGATGTGGGATTTATTTCCAACACCCTCCCTCACGTGCAGGCCAGTAATTTTTCTGGTCCTGGTCACGGGGTAAGTAGTGTGAGCCCACATCAATCCT